GCTTGCCCGACCATCGCCTGTGGTCGGTGGCTAGTTACCGGCAAAAGGAAGAAGAAAGGAAAAAAAATAAACAAAAAATGGATAAAATCAAAAAATTATTAAAAATTAGCCACGTCAGCATCAGACGTGCCATGTTGAATTACCGGCATTCACATCAGCGAAAATGTACCCAATTGACAAAATTGAAAGATTTATGACTGAATTGACAAAAGTGAAATAAGTTTAGGACTTTTTGGATAATTTTTCTCTTCTTGTCTCGATGACACCGTCCTCGAAGGTTCCTTAGAATATTCCTTGGCTGAAGAACTAACGAAGATGGCTCTCATTGCTACCAACCCATAAGGGGAAGGCGTATAAGTTTTTTTTTTGGTAACCCAGGGAACCCCCGCACGGCCGACAGCCGGGGAGTAAACCCTGGGGGCGACACGTGCTAGCCACCACACACGTGCCACCGGTTAAGTCACCCTGCGGCGCTCGGGATTCGAACACTCAACCTTTTGCGAGAGGAAGAGTGCGCGCTCCAGCAGTGCCACCCAGGCGGGTGGTGGGGAAGGCGTATAAGTTTATAGTTACCATGTTCTAGAAACTAGAAAGCATCTTCCAAGTAGAATGGTTTTGATTTTGATTTTGATGAAAAGTGGAAGAGAAGATGGTTCAGAACTCATAATAAACAAAGAAGTTGCGGGGAAGACCGGGCAGTTGAGTCTTTCTTTTATGATAATTCAAGGGTCAAAATAAAGAAAAAAAATGCAGCTGAGAGAAGCCTAAGCCATTGATTTTATCTGAACTGTTGATGGATCATTCGTATGTATATAATATTCTCCTGTTCGGCGCTCTTAAGAAGTCTAAAGAAATTTCGTCCCCGACATCTTTCCTTTAGCCCAGTAATCTTGAAAGCTCAAAGAAATTTCTCCTAATTGAAATCATTGCTTAATGATTATTGTCACTGCTATGTTATTTTTAAAGTAATATTTCTTTCCGTTTATACAATTTAATGATTGTTGCCACTACTGTAGTTTTAAAAATACTAAATATTTACATAAGTTGAATGCACAGAAGTAGAAAAGCAAACTATTTTTGTGAAATTTAACTAACAAAGTTAGTAAGTCAGACTTAGGTTGAGTATTTGCTAAAATATTTCAAGATTAAATTGGCTAAATGAAAAGCTCCATTACACTCGTTGGAGATAATTATTCCCAAAAAGCCCATAATCTGTTTTGTCAATTGCGCAATCGTGAAATTATCTCTCTGTTCCATGGGAGGGCGGAAAAAAAATACATCAATTGTATAATTATTTGTGATTTGGTCACTATTGTCGGACGATGGGCTCGCATCAGCACTTAGCTATATAGGAAGCTTTTTGTAGATATTTTAACCAAACTCCTGATAATAGACTCATCTGATTTTATTATTAGAAGATTAAAATACTCTCAATATCGTTCGAGTTAGAGAGTGGTCATTTATGAATTATAGTGTTCTTTTGCTCTATTGCGCACAATAGGGGTGTAAAAGAACCCAATCAAACACGATCCGATCCGACCTAACCCGACCTGAAAATTTTCGTATTGGGTCGAGTTGGGTCTCAACTTGTTTGGGTAACTGAAAAAATAATTGGATATTGTTTTGGATCTATTGGGCTTGGGAAGGTCCTCGTCGTCGTCGGAGAAGCCGAGGAACGGCACCCAGAAGCAACAGCCCCGCTTGGCGAAGGTGGCGTCTGCAGCGTCAGCGTTGGGCCCGCGGTCCTGCCGAGGGGAGACCTCGAGGGAATGCTAGGTGGACATGAGATCCTGGTATCACTGGATATCAGGGGAATGGATTAGGGGCTCCTTGGATGGCGGGATCTGCAGAGCTACGGTGGCGGACAACGGGGGCGGATGCGAGAGAGTTCTGATCTTCTTCCTCCTCCTCCACCACCTTCATCTTCTCTGTGTTTTCAGTAGTTTTCATTTTCGATATTAATGGGCCGGACCCTGCCGCTGCCGGCGGGGCATCCTCCAATCTATCCGAAGCTGGCGGGCCCCGGAGGGAGCAGAACACCAAATCAATCAGAACACCAGCTCTCACTGCAAAACAATAATCATGCCCCGTGTGCAAGAGCTTCTCGGGTATCTATGCGGGATCCAGATGGAGTTGTTCTTAACTGTCTTGAATACGTTCGAATATATTCACATACGTGGCATAGCTTCCATATCATTTTCATCGCCAAATCAATCACATTTTCATCCACAAAACAATAAAAATTAGACAAATTTCTTTAAACCCCGAAGGGTATAAATGACCATAATTACCAAAATAATCATAAACCTATTATACGATAACCAATTCAGACATAAATATTTTAATTTGACCAATTTAATCATAAACATTTTTACAATTTGCCAATATAGACCTTCCGGTCAATATTAGTCGGAAATCGTTGACATGGATGGTGCTATCCTACGTGACACGAGCAAGAACTACAACCTTCGCACCCTTCGCTCAGTGGCCAGCGAGGGTTGCCGGCTTAGAGTTGGAAAAAAACAGAGAAAGACACACCTATTTCATCACAGAAAGGCGCCCACTCAAACTGGAGGTCGGGAGAGATAGCACCTGTTTCACCGCAGCGAGGAATCAGGAAAGCAGCACCAACCGTGCAAGGGGGGGACCATCCGTGTATAATAGTCCGTGTAATAGTCTCCTTTCTACTCCTCTTCGAAAACTCAAAAGAAATTTCTTCCGTCTTGTACTAACCGTGCTGTCCAATCCTCTAGGAAAGCTCGAAGAAACTCCTCGACTGCCCCTATTCCCACTCAACCTTTTATGCCATTCCTCCTAGAAAGCTCAAAGAAATTCCTCAGCCATATGCCCACCATTCCAACTTGAACTTATTGCTCATATGTACGATAAGTTCACCAGCACCTACTCTTGTCCAGCGAATTGGAGAGAGAGAGAGACATTTTTTCTTGACCAAAAAAAAAAATGGTCATCCAAAGGCGACAAAATTCGTACTTTGTCACCATTAATTCAATCAAAGTTGGGATAATTTTGAACCTAAGGCTTTTGCCGACCTTAGATTGAATCTAAAGCAACAAAATCATGATTTTTGTCAGTGATATTAGAATATTTACTTGATTTTACATATCTCTCTAATTTCTCAATTTGGTAACAGAGCCTCTTTTCCTGATGCAACCCCTAGTGCACCGTAGTGCACCCAGTGTACCCCAAAAATTTCTCAATTTTATTTTGCCGTGTTCTTTCATTTAATATCATGGACCACAGTAGCAAAGGACTGCAATAGCGAAATAAATACATCCCCACTCAACATTGTTCATCCGAGTGCCTCATTCTCGTCTAGGTAAGCGTCATGGTGGTCGTGTTACGACGTCGGCGACGCGTTGCCAAGTCAAGCTTTTCTTTTTCGCATAGTAACATTTGCTCAGTAGTGCTTGGCTTATTCTGCTTGCTGTAGCTATGCCGGTCGTATCGGCCACGTTTGTGAAGTTATTGTCCCAACATCAAAGTCAATCGCAAAGGACGTGTGCTGTTCGGCTTCAATGCCGCCAATTTTTGACTTTTCACTTCTCATTTCGAGATGCCGACACCACCACCACACTTGCCGCCGTCAGACTATCAAAATATTGAAATCTCGTCGTCAACGGAAGCTTGGAGCCACCACACATACCTTACGCGTAGCCGCGCCACACATCCTCCATGCTCGACTGTGCGGTGCTAGTTTCATTGTCTAATTTCATGCTAATCGAAGATTTTGGGACACTATTCAAATTATTTTTCAAATTCAAATTGATTTATTCCTACTCATCTTGTGTTTGAGGGGGATGTTAGTGATATTAGGATTTTTACCTGATTTTATATATTTCTCTAATTTCTCAACTGTTTTTCTCGCCTCTGTCGCCTCAGATGAGGCCTAAAGTGAAATGGTTTTGTCACGTTACGTTTGGGCGTAAGCAACAAAATTCAAACTCACATTGAGATGGGAAAATTTTGAACCTAAGGTGACAAAATAATTTTATCACCTTGGGGCGGTCCTAAAGCGACAACAATGATTTTTTTCATCGCTTTTGGGTATGACCTAAGGTGACAAACTGAGAATTTGGCCTTCTTTGGCCGACCCTAAGGTGACGAAACCTGGTATTTTGTTGCCTTACTTTTGGTGGGATTTTTTTGCCTTTCATCAACTCATAAGGCGACAAAAATCATTCTTTTCATCACCTTTGGGTATGCCTAAGGTGACTAAAGTAACATTTTTGTCACTGTTGGAAGACCCTACAACGACAAGATTGAAATCTTTTTTCACTTTTAGTTGGACTGGTGATGAAAATTTTCTTTGAACCGGATAGAAAATAGTACAAAATTTTTAATACGTTACTAGAAATGAATTGTGTTTGTCATCACGGATAAACAGCTGATGCTAACAGATAGAATGCAAACCGATATTCTGAACATGTTTTCCTACTTTGTCAACTAATACGACTCGTGTAGTAATGTAGATATTTGTGGCCACGTTAAATTTAGTGACAACGATCTCAGGCTGTTGTTAGATTTGAAATGATAGTGGGATGTTAGAAATAGAATTTTCCTAATCTGGATGACACCGTCCGACGACACCATCCTTGAAGGTTCCGTAGACGTAGAGTGGTCGCTTGGCTGAGGAACTATCGAAGATGGTTCTCATTGCCCCGTACTCGCCGGGGAAGGCATAGAAGTCTAAAGTTACCATGTTCCAGGAAGTATCCTGGATGTGCAATGGTTTGGCTTTTGATGAAAGGTGGAAGACAATATGGTTCAAAAGTCAAATAAAAGAAGCAAGCTGCAGGGAGACCTGGCCGTTGAATTTCTTTTTTTGTTTTTGTTTTTTTGTTTGATCTTTTTCCTTTCAATTTACGTGTGGGAGAACAGAAACTTCAAAGAAATAGATCAATTTGGCTTTTCTAAAACTATTTTCTAAAGAAAAATTCCTCCCACCTGAACTACTCTGTATATAAGCAATGAGTTCATTGCTTATATACACAAGTTCACTCGCAACTACTCTGTATCCAGGGAAAGGTAGAGAGACAGTGAGAATGCATCCTAAAGTGTATGAGGCTGCAAAATCGGGAGACTTTGATTCCTTGAAGACGATAATTTTAGGAAATGGAGAGGACCTTTTCCACCAAACAACGCCAAAAGAGAACAACATTCTTCACATTGCGGCTCAATATGGGCAGGTAAATTTCATTGAAGGTCTTCTTCAATGTCCATCAGGATGGTCCCTTCTTTGGCAGGGTAACAACAGAGGAGACACTCCTCTACACCTTGCTGCTGAAGTGGGTAGCTGCAGAGTGGTGCAAGTCTTCACTGATTTTGCGAAATCACTTCATTGGGTTGTTGAAAACGGACAAGTTGATGCATGCAAAGAGCTACTTCGAAAGAAGAATTTACAGAAGGATACCGTGCTGCACCATGCAGTAAGAGGAGGCCATGATTTGGTGGTGGAGTTGCTGATTGAAGAAGATTCTCAACTGTGTGATATTATTAATGCTGCCGATGAGTCCCCACTTTATCTTGCAGCAGATCGAGGACTTTCACGTACCACTGAGCTGATTTTAGGCGCTTTCTCATGGTCATCCTCTCATAAGGGCCCTAAGGGTTTGACAACTCTGCATGCCGGAATCTTTCTCTCATTGACCGGTAAGTATCACAAGATACTAAGCCCAATGAAAAAATAGTTAACCGAAGTTATCTCTCTCGTGCAAGGGCTTCTCTTAGATGAGAGTGCTGGTGTTAGCAGTGAGGGCCATCTATCCTAGCTTTCAATAAATATAGTAGTATATTCAAAACTTATTTATTTATTGTTTTTATGTATATTTTGGGGAAAGGTCGAACACGCCTCTTGATTATAGACGAGGGTTGTGTTTTGGAAAGATTGAGTTGTTATTCTCATTGCATTTTCTTAAGAGTTAATATCACGAAAAATCTTAAATCGGTACATTTGTGATAAATTTATACCAAGCTAATTTTTTTACTACAAAATTCTCAAGCTGGTATACCTCCGACAAATTTACCCAAAACTAATTTTTTAATCATAAAAAAACCCCAAACTGGTACATATGTGATAAATTTACCAAAAACTAATTTTTTGACCATCAAAAACCCCAAATTGATAATCCTATGACAAATTTACCCTCTGTTAGTGGACTCGTTTGGGGTTTTTTGTGGTATTTACCCTATGAATTTTCACGTGGGCTTGCCACGTCACCATACCATGTCCACATCAGCAAATTTAACGGTAAAATTTGACATAAGCTAACAGAGGGTAAATTTATCACATGTGTACTAGTTTGGGATTTTTTGTGATAAAAAAATTAGTTTTTGGTAAATTTGTTATGGGTGTACCATTTTTGGAGTTTTTTGTGATCAAAAAATTAGTTTAGGGTAAATTTATCACAAGTGTACCACTTTGGGATTTTTCGTGGTATTAAACATTTTCTTAATTGTTTTACTTATCGACTATAAAATAAGTTTAAACCGATTCGTCTTCTCTTGAAATGCAGACCAAAAAAATAGTATCCATTTTAGATTATGCATCCATTCGGAAAAATCGCTATTTTGATAATAGTGTTGGTAATAGTATTTCTCACACGCTAATTTCTTTCTACACGTTTTTCTAGATCTTGTTCTCTTACTCACTTTTTTCTGAATTATAGCACCAATTCAGTTTGCAAGTGATGACAGGGCACATGGCAATATATTTACAAAAGATCAGGGTATACATGCTATATTTCTTAACCCCCGAGGGCAAATTATGACGACTTGAAAGGAAAGGGATGCAATGATTTTACTTTTGAAAATGTAGAAGGTGCTAGTCCTCATTCAATATTTAAATTCTCCCATAAAATTGAGTTGGGCACAATATTTTCCATAAAATGATTGGCATCAGAGTAAAAAATCTTGGTCTTTTATTCTAGCCTTGACAGTGTAGATGCCTTGCTGAAGATATGAGAAGCTTCTTCTCAAACAACTTCACGAATTTCTAACAATTTCACTTATCAATTGATAAATTTTACAAATTTCTGCATTATGCCAAATTGAAGGAAGTTAGGTTCTACACGTGTTACACAAGATCGCTAGAAAAACTTCGGAATTACCATGACACTGTCCTTTCTAGTACAGACAAAATGGGGAAAACTTAATGGGTAGGAGTGCAACTTTAATATACATGCCAAGATGCTATAAACAGTCTAAATCATGACATTTTCCTATTTTATTTGCAAAGTTTGGGAGAAAATCTTGGAGAAAAGACCAGAAGCGATCAGAGAAGGAGATGATATGGGGTGGACTCCTCTTCATTACGTAGCTTACTTTGGCAAAGTCGAAGCAGTTCAACTACTCCTGCAACACGATACTTCTGTGGCATGCGACTTAGACAAATCGGGGGAATCGGCTCTTCACCTTGCAGCGTTTCAAGGCCATGCCAATGTCATAAACGAGCTTCTTAGATCCTGTCCTGATGCTTGTGACATAATGAACACCAAAGGGCAAAATGTTCTTCATGCAGCTGTTATCGGTGGACGAATGAATGTAGTCAAGTACATACTACGGATGTCAAACCTGGATAATCTTATCAACGAACAAGACACAGATGGAAACACTGCTCTGCATTTGGCTGCGCTTAATAGACAATACGACATTATATGCACACTTGCACGAGACAAGAGAGTGGACCGTTTGGCCAAAAATAAGGATCATTTGACCGCCTGTGACATGTTTTCTTCTCACGAGGAGGTATGCTTGCTTGAACACTATAGAGCCCAATTTGTTCACTCATAGAGTTATTTCTTCAGTATCTTTTAGAAACTGTGGCCCAGCCGATACTCATTTCAAGTGCAAACAAACAACGCAATTGAAGTTTTTTTACGTCAACTTTGTTTTGCTTAATCGGTTGTTTAAGCATATTGACTATATTTTCAATTTTCGTAGCCAATGAGTGTGACACACTTTTGGAAAAGGGGGTCCGAGTGAAGTGATTTCACACTACATATCTTACAATAAATAATAAGAAAATTGGACAGAATTAAACTTGATGGTTGAGTCACATTATCACAAAGCTTCGTTGCCTCCACTTCACTCAATATTAATTAGCAAACTAACTATTTTTAATTTGACAAAAAATAAAAAAGCATTTCTCTACCATTAATGTTCCTACAACAAAATATCAACATCAATTCACATAGCTTACTAGTTTAGATGTGATTTGATATAATAGTCAATAAACTTAAACTCATGATTTGAAGTCTTTATGGTTTTTCAATAAATGAGTTGGCGTATAATGTTTTTGTTTATTATTAACTAAATGTGTATGGTTATATCTTTTTCTTTTGGGTTAATACCATGAAAAACCTCAAACTGGTACAGTTGTGGTAAATTTATCCTGAACTAATTTTTTGACTATCAAAAATGCCCAAATTGGTATACCCGTGACAAATTTACCCTCTGTTAGTTTCCGTTAAATTGTACTGTCAAATTGCTGAGTTTGATAACATGTGGCAGTTGACAAGTATACTAGTTTGGGATTTTACCTCTCAGTTTGTCACAAATTTTATCAATTTGTGATTTTTCGTGGTATTAATCCAATTTAGCAGAGGGTAAATGTCACAAATATACTAGTTTTGGATTTTTGGTAGTCAAAAAATTAATTTAGGATAAATTTGTCACAAGAATATCATTTTGGGGTTTTTGGTGATCAAAAAATCAGTTCGGGGTAAACTTGTCACAGATGTATCAGTTTGAGGTTTTTCATGGTATTAACCATTTTCTTTTCAAAAATACTGATTATCTATAAATTTGATGTGTGGACAAAAACGATCTAGTAAAGTAAAATGAAAAATATTTTAGACTAATGAAAAAATTGATTAGGCCATATTTATTAGTATATAAAAAATAACAAAAAAAAGTGGCTAAAAAGTTGTATTCAAATTTTTATTTTTAATCTATATCATTATTTGGAATTTGCATTGTCATATAGAAATTTCATTTGACAAAATAATTATCTTGCCAGTAGCTATTATTGCAAAAATCTTCAAAATAGAAGTCCTTATAGATCCAATAAATGCTTATATTTTTAAACCATCCAACTCATTCCCACATATTAAAGCCCCACGTGCAATCCGATTACATGAAAAAACTAAATATCGTATTAATAGCCAACAATCAAATGCATATAGTAAAAATAGCTTAAAACAATTTTAAGTTTGAATATTTTTCGTTATTAGAATTATGCAGTGACAAAATATTCAAATAACAAGGTATAGTTTAAAACAAATCACTTAGTAAAGTAATTTGAATATTAGTTAATCTTGTTGTTTGCTTGACAAATACATATACTTATGTAAATATTATGTTGTATGACTATATTATAGCATCAGAACAGAATTTTTCAATAAGGTTCAAATCCGTGCAACATGCGGGTCTTCAACTAGTTCAAAAGCAATTGTCTGTCTTCGTTATCTTGAAAACATTGCAAAATATTTACGGTGGGGATTCTCTAAAATGAGGAGATAACATAAAGGGGAAAAAGAAAGAAAAGAAAAGGAAAAAGAAAAGAAAAATGGAGAATAAATCAGGAGTCGGATAGCATACCCGAACTGTAACTGTTTACTCCAGGAAACTCTATGTACAGGTGTTATCTACTATTTACTTTTATCTAAAAGAGATGATGTGAATGAATTCTCTATGACGTTTAGAACTCGCCGGGAGTTCCGTTTGTTACGGATGGGTATTGAGTGTGTAAAGTGGGGGTCTTGAAGTATGTCGCAGCGAACTTTCACTCGTCAATTGATATACATCATGTATATTTTTAGGTCGGCTTCATGGCTGAAAACGTTCAACATCTGTTGAAAGGATCTCATGGAATCCCGGGTTTTCAAGGCTGGTTTATGGAGCATGGTAAGAAGAGGTCAGGCAAGCAATTTGTTCAGGGTCAACCATCTGTGACTATAACCACAGGAAGTAATGTTGCCAACCGTAATAATTTTGATTTGTCAAAAAGAAGCATTATGGATGTTCAACTACTAGTGGCCGGGCTCATAGCCACAGTAAGCTTCAGCGTGGTCTTTGCAGTGCCTGGAGGTTATAACAATGATGGACCTGACCGAGGAGTGGCGATCTTTGCTGGCAGGGCAGATTTCGAAGCCTTTCAGTTTTTTAACTGCATAGCTTTCGTTTTCTCCATCATGGCAATAATCTTCCATTGTCGAAGTATTACGTTCAGCTCTAGCCGAGGTCCGAGATACATCCCGTTCGTGAGACGTTTCATTGAAGTTGCGACATTCGGGATGGTGGTAGCCTATTTTTTGGGGACGGATATCGCATCGAAGAGACCCCCCAAGAGTACCAGGGAAAGAATTAGTTATTATGTTGCGCTTGGAGGTCTGCTGACTTTGTGCTTCTTTTTCGATTTCCCTGACCCCGTCGAGGCTCATTCGTGGTCCCTAGGTAGCTCTCCCGCAAGATCAATCCGAAAGTTTTGGCATAAGTGTGAGATACTAATGTTTGATTTCCCGGCGAGGCTCTTATGTTGGTTGCTAGAAAAGCTCACGAGTTGAGCCGGTTGTACAGTCCTGTGAGCTTGTGAACAGGAATTGTTCTTTATCAGCCGTCGATTTCGAGCACTTTTATGTCATGTCCAATTTAAAACCTGTCAACGTCAACCGTTGGATTGATTGCCGGCAAGATTGCCATGCTCAAGATGAAAGTTTGTACACCAATGGAGGTTTGCCTAAGAATGTGATGTTTACTAGCATATAATTTGTTAGTGATATTTAGATATATACTTAATTTTGTATATCTCTCAGGATTATGCATATATCTCCTCTAATAGTGCATATTCTCGATTGATTATATTTGATGTTATATTTATTTTATTATCTTAGATAGTCATATAATAAAGTTTATAATAGGCTCCATGTACATTGAAATATGTCGAATTATATAGAAATTTCCCAATCATCTCTTCCCGCTTTGTAATTCTTAAGTTAGTATTGGGTTTGCCTTCAACTTCTATGCATTGCTCTTTAATGGCATAGTTGCACAAAACTGCAGGAAGTACCGTAATATTTTCAGTATCTATTGAGAGCAAGAGTCATGGCTGATGCAAGGTCCTTCCCTTCCTATTATATCAAAATTTTCGTAAGCCTTCATAGAATGGGAATGTCGTCCAGGACAAGATGTTAAACTATCCAAGCCTCCAATAATTCGGGAGGTCACACAATCAGGGGTATTGCCGAAGTTGAGGCAAGACAAAGATACCGAACCAATAAGAGGGACTAGGGTGTGCGGACACCGGCATATTAAAAATAAGAAACGCAATCATGAGCTCGCTAGGGTTTCTTGGCTGGTGGCGACGGCCCCTAATGGCAATCAACTCTTATGCAATCTCCAACCTAGCCTAAGAGGGAGCTTCCCCCGGTTGGAATGTCATCTTTCAGTGTAATCTGAGAATTTTCAAGTCAATCTAGTGAGTAACATCATCAAATAATTAGGTACACAAGGCCCAGAATGCACCACCGTATCATCCTAGAAAAATTCAATTACCCACTCATGCCGAAAACAATCATTTCGCTTCGTCTTTCGTGTTCACGTGTGGAATACATGAATCACTCTCAAATGCACAGAGAGGAGCAATGGCTGATCCTTGAAGAGCCAAACCATTCTTTAATATCAACCCTGAACCCATGTGGTCCAGCTACTAGAAGCCGTTCTTGTTTCCATGTTCTTCGATAAAGCTGCATCATCCACTAAGTAAGGTACTATATATTTTTTCAAGTTGGCGAGAGAGATATGGAGATGATTCCCAAACACGTTGATAAATTTGACTTTCCCAGCTTTATCGCAACTTACCTTAAAGGGGACCACCCTCGAGAGTAGATGTAGAGGTACTTATTTGAAAGACAGTATGAATTGATATCCCTAAAAGATGGCTCGAATACATCATCAAATATGTAATCCAAAACGGTCCGTCAATTCCGAGTGTGGACTCTCCCAAGCTCATATCTCACGTGATGTTGGGATATTCAATTTTAGAATAAATTAACCCTATGAGAATTTTATATACGGAGTCACCACTAGCCTATTGACGCAGAGGAAGATATACTTGGAAAAGGATTCCAAAAGATAAAATTTATTATGAATAATGAAGTATCATTTACAATACCTTAGGCACCTATTTATAGGAAAGTTTCCCTTTAGGAAATAATCAAATAATTAAAATCAAATAATAGAATTAAGGAAAAAATATTGATAAAAGAGAAAGTCTTCGAAACGCATACCGAAAATCTGCAAAGCACGTCCGAAATCTTTGAAGGCCCAAAAATCAAGGAAAACGCGTGAATTTGGAGGTCAAACATTGCCCAAACCGGCGTAGCGCGTTTGCAGCTTCTAAGATCTCACAATTCTCTTCGATTTGATATGACCATTTGAAGTTGAAATGTCCTTTATATCATGGGTGGGACCGCCCACTCTTATGACGCTCGGAGATTTTTATATAAGCATTTGCCAGTTGTTTAACATCAGTGTCCTTTTAGAAGAACTCGACCCCTAGTTTTGTCAAGATAAAGGGGGTGTATCTGGAGAATGATACTCAAACAGGTCGGCCACATTGAATGTCGGGGAGATGTTGAGGTTGTTGGGATTTTGTGCGAAAACATGCATAGGTAAAAGTAAATAAAAATCGCACCAAAATCAATAGCCTATACTCGAGTATCTTCACAACATTATTCATGCATTTTAATAAGAAGCATGTAGAAATGAAGAAGGAGGGCTAATCGTATTACCCTTGTACCATGCTCAAAACAATTTGGTTCTAATGTTTTTCAGTTCCAAACCACAAATGTCCGATCTCCTCTTGACCTGTCTAAAGTAATCCAGTTATGATGTTCTTCAATTCCAGCCTCACAAATGTCGGACATCTAATTCAGACATACCACCAATCACGCGTCAAACAGTAGAGAGAAATTTGAGTGAGTTCACCATATCAATTGTGCTAGGAATTGTTCTTGTGTGTGAATTGTTTGATTGACATCAATCATCAACTATTATTAGTCTCGGATCCAATTTAATTAAATAAATTCTGCCATTAACTCTAAAATCGTTCAAAACATTAATTCGGTCGCTGAGTCTGAACCCGTTTAAGAGACTAAATCTGGACATTGATTTTGAAACCGTTTTAGAGCATTATTCTAGTAATTAATTCTATAACCGTTACATAGCATTAATCTCGGCATTAACTCTGTAACCGTTACAGAGCATTAATTCGGCTGTTAAGTCTGAAATCGTTTCAGAACTTTAATTTGGCCGTTGATTCTGAAACCTTTTCAGATAATTAAACTGGCCATTGATTTTGAAACCGTTTCAAAGTATTAATCTAACCATTTATTTTGAAATCATTTCAGAACATTAATCCGGTCGTTGATTCTAAACCCGTTTCGGAACCTTAATCTGGCCGTTGATTCTGAACCCATTTCAGAACCTTAATTTTGCCCAACTCAATCTGATTGCCGCAATTTGCAAATATATTTGCAATGTCTTTTCCGTTCAAAAGTCATTCTGAATTGGTTATGGTGCGTGACATCCCTAGGTTTATCACTGAGTTGGCAGTAGGATTTGTACTAACACATTAGTACAACCAAGAGAACTGATTGTCTCGATCAATCTCCAAGTCCTACAAACCATGAGTGACATCTAGCAATATGTCATGGTTACCCAAACAGTGTGAATGTTTTAAGAACATAATGAACTTGTCAACTTTGACTACTATATAATTCAATCCGTTTGCCTTACTATGTCCTGACCAAACAAAAGCCATAGAATTATTTGTCAAGCCACCAATTCGATCGTATGCACAAACCTAATTGACATGTATTTCAACGAGACATGAACTATTGATTCTCGGTTACAACCTCGGCCAAGGATTTCAATACAATGTCACGATTAGATCGCATTGGACATTATTATTGTATCTTTTATATAGCAAGAAGACAAATTCCATATTGCACACGAATGTGCCTTCGTATATAAACAAACTATGATCAACAAGTACACATACAATTCGATGAAGCATCAATATGCGCACTTGTGAACCATGGCTATCCAAAATACAAGTCAACACCGTGCCTTAGGTCTAAGGATTTTACATAAGACTAGAGCCTGAACAATTAGTCATTGACCCAGCTAAAAGCTTCCATGTTGTTAATCGTTCTGAATATGTCATGTTCAGTGAACTTGTCCGATACAAGCACTTGTATTCTAGCTCAGGTATCACAACTCCTAATGATGTGTGACTCATCATTCCCTTAGGTATCCAATACTCAATGGTGAAGCTTGAGAACACACCGGTCTTAACAGTATCATCAATATCCTCTCAATGATTCATCGAAGGGAAACTCTTTAAAGACTTAATATAACTTTGAATATGTCACACATATTCTTAACACCTTAATAATAGGTTCAGTCGCAATTGATCTTATGGACCCATTCATATAAATGGGACAATAAATGAATTTGTCTTTGCCATTAAATAATACAACTGAAGTTCCTAACACGTAACTATCACATGGTTGCTTTAAGGCATATGGCCAATGGAGGTCACCTGGAAGATCAACAACATAGGCATTGTTATTAATCTTCTTCTCGATTTAGCAGGGGCCAACTTTCTTAGGCTCCAGCTTGTTATATGTACCGACAAGGAAACTTTTCTTGCAGAGGTAGATCATCACTCTGTCACCCTTAGCAAATAATTTGAGGCGGCGGTGTTTATCTGCAACAGCTTTGTAGACAATAGTGGAAGCTTCTAGCTGTTGCTTCACACCCTCTTATATCTCTTGTAATTTTGTTGCTAAGTTCTTAGCCGCAACACTATATCCCACGACTTTAGGCAAAGGCACGAGGTCTAGTGTATGTTGTGGAGTTCGCCTATTGATGACCTCATACGGAGACTTGTCTATGAAGCAGTTGATGGTGTTCTTGAAGGCAAACTCAGCAAGAGCAAGATACCAGTCCCATTTCTTTGGCATGTCATTACAGAGGCACTGAATGATATCCGCCATATTACGGTTGGCGACTTTAGTTTGACTGTCAGTCTGGGAATGGAAGGAAGCTACACTACAGCCAATCAGTCCCAAACAAGCGCCAGAAAGTCCTCCAAAAATGACTAAGGAACTTCGTGTCACGGTCAGAGGTGATTGTTTTGTGTGGACTACTTCCCGAAATAATAGGCTCGCCACATGGGAAGCATCAGAAGTCGTCTTGCAAGAAATGAAGTGTGCTATCTTTGTGAACCTATATACCACCACAAAAACAAAATCCATACCTCGTTGAGTTCAGAAAGGTCCTACACAAAATCCATTGAAATGTCTACCCAAGGTCCAGAAGGAATAGGTAAAGGGGTGTAAAGACCAGTGTTTTGCGAGTGGCCTTTGGCAGTCTAACAGATGTAGCACTTTTTCACAAATTGCCCAATGTTGCGCTTCAATTGAGACCAATAATACCATTCTTCAACCATGGCAATGGCTTTGTCTCTCCCAAAATGTCCTCCAAGGGTGCCACCGTGGAGCTCTAAAAAGTTGTTCCCGCAAAAAGCTACGAGGAATACACAACCTATTGCCAAAAAACAATAATTTATCTTGTATGATCATGTCGCCGTGAGAGCCTATCGTAGAACACTTCTCCCAAATGTCCTGAAAGGCGCCATTCTCGATATAAAGGGCACGGAGGTGGTCCAAGCCCACAACATCGGTGCATATGGTGACAAGTATTGCAGCAAGATAACTAAGTGCATCAACGACTTTGTT